TAAAGAGGCCAAATGTGTAAATTATTGTAACCGCACGGTTTCACCGGATAAACTGTAAAATGCGCCCTCCCTCCCCGGCCACACTTTACGCTACGAAGCCGTTTATTTTATTACATACTTCGTGGCTGTATGCGAAGCACAAACACAACGGTAAATCACACGTATCGCCGGGACGGCTGTTAAATTTAATTTACGCGCGTATTTGTGCATACGACTTTATATTTCCCATTAGCGGGATAAACTGACCTAATTCGCACGGACCTTGTCATACATCTCATGTAAACATGTATATATATATATATATATATATATATATATATATATATATATATTGTGTATACATATATATATATATATATATATATATATATATATATATATTTTTATATATATACGGTGTGTGGGTGTGTATGCTCATCCGTTAAAAACAAGAAAGTAAGAAAAGAAAAAGACAAAGTATATGAGAAGTTTGTCCTCCAAAAATTATTAACAGAAAACCGCAAGTTATAACAGTAGATATAAATGCTCGGAAAACATTTTGAATAATGTAAAAAATATGGACTATTATTTTCTCAACAAACTTTTATAAAAAGACGACAAGAATAGATTTATGATTGACATAGACTCGTTTTAAATTATCGATTAATAGAATGATATGAATCGAGATTCTTTATACTCGTGAAAAGATTTTTATCTTCATAAATATTTGCGCTCTGTCGCTCTTTATTCTAATTCGCGTCGTGTTTTCGCTCGAGAAAGCTCGAAACGATCGAAGACGCGCTATCTTTACGATTTCTGAATTGCGCGCGTCTCATCGGCCAATCGCTGACTAAAAAGAAAACGCCCGCTTCCGTAGATTTTAGGGCTGTAAATTTTATCGGGGCCGCGCACCGATAAGCCAAATGACGCTGTATACTTGTAAAACGATTTTAGATAACGCGCGGGTATCGAGCCGCACATAATAGTCGCAAATATGACTGCAATCGTTGCATAATCATGCTGTTGAAATATTGCATTCGATCGTTTTATTTACGCTTTTCGAGCGACGGATGAACATAAAATATGTTTGTCGACGTTTTAATCTAATTTAAGAAAATACGCGTATCGAGAATGCCCGTTTATAATACACGCATTAACTCTTCGTCCAATAATTTGTTGATCTAAAATAGTAATTTTATAAAATGTTTAAAAGAAATTGAGATAGAAGAGAAATTTTTTTGTAATAGCGTAAAATTCTCTATATTGAATTTTTTTCAAGACCTTCACAGGTTTTTAAACTCGTACTCGTTTGCCAGATAAAAATCATTTAGAGAAAAAAGTCCATCATTTTTCAACATTATCTTTACGTTTTCCATCGCAATCATAATTAAACGCGTGCGTAATCGCGTCGCACAATCGCGCCTCCTATCGAAACGCAAACATCGGTTGGTCACTCGTAAAAAAGGTAACTCGGTATGTCAATTAGCCACCGGCCAAAGATTCCGAAGGTGGTTAAAGCGCGCGGGGAGAACGAGAGTGGGTGGGCGCTCGGGTGTGCAAAGTGCCAGGTAATTAGTTTACATCGTGCGACTCGCGCAAACCCCCGGCGCTGCTTGTCGATTAAATGCCGCCACCGGTAGCCGTTGTTGTCGCGTGCACGTGCGCGATTAGACGCAGCTCGATCGACCTAACCGCGTTTCCTAGCCTTTGCCCTGCCGATAGAAATTGGCAGGTTAAACGTTGACAAAAGCAACGGCCCCGGGATTGTTGAATCAACGTGAACGCCTCCGAATAACGACGACTCTCTGTATTTGGAGCGACTGGCGCGATCTAGTCGAAGTAATTCAGCGATAGAGCAGTTGCAATTTTTTTCATCATATTATTTTCCAAAATCATTATGCAAATATGCGGGAAGGGATTAATAACGATTAAAGTACTGTTTAAAAGAGCGATAACCGAAGAAGGTAAGTCTATCTCCTTGTTCTCTTTCTCTTTTTGAAATAATAGTCGACTCCAAAGTTTTCGCGAGTCGTAATACGCGAGAGAGCCCACGGGAGGAAAACAGGACGTTTTATTTTCACGCATGAACGACCAGCTTTGCGTGTCATTTTCTCACTCTCCGGAGAAGAACGCGACTTTTGCGCGCGCGAACGCCATGACTTCTCGTTCCCTACATCCACCGTGAAATTGACTTCAAAGAGTCTCAGGACGACGTGGAAGGTCCATCATTTTCCACCCCTCGTGGAAGTCGAGACGCTGGTGTACATGCATCTACAAGGTGTCCAAAACGTTACGTAACTTAAAATGTTCTTCAAATTCCTAGATTTATCTATGAATCTACTATTCATATATCTATCATAGTTTATTTATGCGTTTTATATTTTCATATAGACATTGATATTTTAAAAGGGGTATTAAATGACAGATTTACTGTTATAATTTAAATTTAAGTAGATTTACTAATTATAATTATAATTTTGCAATTTTAAACACAAAAATAAAAATTAATCTTAAACTTTAATTACAATAAACTTTAATTACAATAAATTAAAAAGATATGATTTAATAATATAACATATAGAGATTACATATAGAATTAACAACATATAGAATTTTCATATAGATTGATATTTTAAAACGTATTAAATGACAGATTTACTGTTATAATTTAAATTTAAATAGATTAACTATCATAATTATAATTTTGCAATTTTAAACACAAAAGTAAAAATTAATCTTGAACTTTAATCACAATAAATTAAAGATATGATTTAATAATAATCATAATCATTAATATGTACATTTAATCATTAATCATATGTACATTTAATCATTAATATGTACATTTTGTAAATAGTATAGGAAACAGTCAATGTATACATAAAAGTATTTTAGGAGACATAACAAGCTGGCCTCATAAAATTCTTTACTCTATAATTTCGAGTTTTTTTTTAAGTTTATATATCTCTTTGTGCTATACTTTGACATTATATATATGTATTATATACATAAAATATATTGCTACACAAAATAGGAGTAAAATAATATCAAAGTGTAGCGCGAAGGGACATATAAACTAAAAAAAAACATAAAATTGTAGAGTAAAGAATTTTATGAGGCCAGCTTGTTATGTCTCGTAAAATACCTTTATATGACGGTACCTTAGCGCCGCGTTGCCCGAGGCACCCTGTATAACGCATATATATTCATATATACATATAGAAAAGGGTGCGAACGAACGAGCGGGATGGGCGGGGCTGCAGATGCATTGCCGCGTGCATGCCAGGCTTTCTAATCAGGCATAGTACTTCTCGGAACGCATCCGCCTATATTCAATCAGTCGGGTTATAAATTTTCCTAGTGGAAACGTCGAATTCACATCCGTCCGGTTCGGCGAACGATCTCGCATGACGCGAGACCTTATATACATACATACATACATACTCTGATTTTTCCACATACTTGACGTGCGTAAAGCGACGACGATGCACTCTTGTCGCGCCCAATCGCCGCAAAATGATACGGACAACCGCGGTAATCGGCGAGTAATGATACACTCGACCACGATCGTCGATCCCAAGAAGTGTATATTATGGGAAATACACGGAGATTCCTATAATTTGTGTGTCGTCCTGTCGCCGAACCGATATCTTGCTCCTGCGAGACTATGTTCTTTTAAAACTCGCTCGCGCACAAACGGCACACACTGTATAAATACGTCCCGTGGATGTTTATTCATTAGATCTAGATTTCACGCAAGAGACTCGAATTTTTGAATAATTGTCCATCGTGTCGTTACTTACGTTAAAGACGTTTCACGCGAATGTCTATAGTTGCGAATGAATCCTATAAATACAAAATTATTATATTGTTTTCCACATATCGTTCATTAAAATAGAGAAGTTGGTCTTCTCAGCGCACGTAAACATTAAGGCTGCAGAACCAATTTAATTTTTCCTTTGTTACAACGCAGCAGATCTGGAGAATTATCTTTATGCTAAGCATAAACATATTGTTCCGAGCCTCACACGGTTTTTCCCTCGGTGTGGCTCATCACGTTACTGCCCGGGGCCCTTCATTTCATTCTACACTTTCCGAGTAATTACTGAATGACAATTGAAGGGAATTACGGCTGTTTCATCCACGGGAAAGGCGGGGCGATACGATCGAATTGTAAGACGCGCGCAGCGTTACTATTTGCACACGCACATACGTACACCCACACGAAGCCGCACTGTGTACATAATATTTCTCCGCCGCGAGCGGAATACGTGGAACTGGCTGCATTATTCAGCGACAGTCAAAGCTTAGTTACGTGCATTATGATTGCATAACTGTAAAACGGTTGCGCGCGCGCGCGATTCTTGGGCGAAAAATTCGCCGCGTAAAGAACGAGGTCGGGGTAGAGTAGATTTAATTAAATTCTACGGGCGGACGAACGATTTAAAAAAAGCACCGTACTTGCCGCTCGTAGACATATAACTCGCCGCAAAAGTACGTCTCTCTGCTCTCGGTGTCGATGCAACGGGGCAGCGGTTATAAAAGAGCGACTGCAATCGGTGCAATGTGCAACGCGCGCTGCAACCCGCGCAACGCGTCTCCTCCTCGGTTGGCGAAGTGAGCGCGGCTCGTTTTCCACCCTTATTGTTAGTTATAACCGCCTATGACGTTCCCATGGCATAAACAAAGCGCAACCGCCAATTCCGAAGATGAAATATTATAAGTAATAACATATATCTATACCGGGGCAGAGCAGCGGAGAGCCGGGCTCTCTCTCTCTCCCTCTCTCCCCTCTCTTTTTTTCTTTCTCTCTCTCTCTCTCTCTCTCTCTCTCTCTTCGGCGTGCCTCTCACGCCGCCTTCGAGACGAGAACGGGATAATAACACGGCACTAAACTATACCAGGGGCCCCGATACCGTACCTATATGTAATTGTATAATTATTATTAATGATATCGGATCTCTCTTACCGCGGCTTAAACGCGCCGGAGAGATATCCGATCGAACGACGCTTATACTTACTTACGGCTGACTTATACCCGTGTATTTCCTCGCGCCTGTCGTCTTTCTCTCTCTTTCTCTCTTTCCTTCTCTCGTGTGCGTGCTCCAAATGACGGTTGTCAACCTCTTCGATTCCCGAAGAACGAAAGCCGACTAGACTGTGTCAATTATCGTTTTGTTCCGGCTTGAAAAGAGTTTCTGGACGAATAGCGCTCTGCAAAAAAATTCATTGCAAAGATTTGAGCGTGCATCGTAATGATTATTGTCCTGAATTTAAATCAATGCAATTACGATGCATTAAAACACAGTTGCAATATGTTTAGGAAACTTTAGTAAGAAACAAAATTTAAGTTTATAAGAAGAGAAATATAGAGAATTATTATGAAAAATAAAAACTTTAGTCTTTAGCTTCGCAAACGAGATTGTATAGATGTTGGCAGAGAGAGATTTTTAAAGCGACCAACAGAATTAATCAAATTTTAACGAACGTTTCGATCAAACAAATGAGAATTTGTGGAGCAAGCTGTCCTCTCGAGATATCTCGAACTGACAACCATTGAAGCCTGGCGAGCCGCGAAGACGTCCAGTAATTCGCGGCGTTATTTATTGCGTTGATGGTAATTTTTCGATCGAGGCAGGCGGTCGATCTATCGGACGATGATAAATAACCCGTTGCAAGTTCGGGCTGAGAGGAACAGCTAATGCGAGACAGAGAATCGAGACCTTAAACGAGACGCAGGAACGTGTGATTCTCCTTGTCGCGAACTTATTCTTCGTCTCTCGCAAAGAGTCTGTTCTTACGTAAGAGGCTGTCATTTTATTTTCAAAGAATGGTCCCTGTTTCCGGTGTAGGAACGAGTATCGGCCATAAATCCACAAGACGATGTCAAATCAATATCATCCAAATCCGCTGCGTAAAAGAACTTATGTAATTCATGGCAAAATTGTTGGTATCAGTTATGTAATCGGTTTCAACCTTGATTCTTCTTGTTTTGCATTGATTAATTCGTCAATCAAATCCGGTGATATTTATTGAAATTTCTAAAAAGACAAAATTGTTTCTTTAAGAGGAAAATATAATTTATTTCTATCGTATATATGAACACTTAACATAAATAGATGTATATAAATCGATGAAAAAATTAGTTAATCGACTTAAATACATCGATTCGAGATATCTTTATTTAAAAGCTCTCGTAAGCGATTTTTAGGCGAGTGTACGTGTTGACGATCCGCCGAAAGTTGATAACAACTGGTAACGGGCTTAGCCACGCAATTGAAGAGAAGAGAGGAATTAATTCTCGCTTTGTAATGGCAAACATTACTTGGACGTGTCGTGCGCGCGAGGAGGACGCAAGATGAGGTAGAAATGATAAAGCGCGGCGGGCAAGGAAGATGGAAAAGAAAGAGGAAAGGAGAAGAAGCAGAAGAAGTCGGACGCGCGGAATATTAAGAGCTCATTAACATAAGGGGACAGGAGCGTGCGTGTCCTCCGCGATCGTGACGACGTTATCGATTGTCGTCCTAGGTACGAGCACGTAGCGCGTACAAACGCACCCACGAACCCGACAATGAGGTGGACGAGGTTAAAGACACGCGTCATGTAGCGGTCGCGCGGTGGGGGAAGAACGTTGGCGAGGATAAAGAGCCTCGCGCGTAGAAAAGAATGGGCAAGAAAGGATGACGACGACGACGGGACGACGGGGGGAAAGAGAGGAGGAACAAGCGGGGGGACTCCCGCGACACGAGAAGTCGCGGCATTGTCAACCGCGGGGCCTGTGCGGCGCGTTACTGGTAACCGTAACTGTACACCTGCATTCCGATCTTGTGAATAATACCGGAATAATACTCTGTGGAAAGAAAAAAAGGAGGTACGGGCGTACACCTTGGGCGGTCGAGGCCGAGCGTCGGTCGACGTTTTCACGCGTTTACTCGGCCGCGCGTATTTCTTCGCCCGTAGTCTCTTGAATAGAATTTAAGAATAATATTAGTGCGTCTGAAATTATTCGTCTAACAACATTAAAAAATTAACATGGCGTGTCTATACATATATAATATATTGAAGATTCGCTCTGTATATTTTAAAATTGAGTAATTAAAAGATTTAATAAAGTAAAATATATAAAATGATCCGAAATGAAGAATTTCTTCCGCCAAAAATGTTTCAAATTTAAAATGAAATGGAGATGATAAATGTAATTGTTGTATATTAGGGAAATTAAATTAATCAGCAGTTATTAAGCAATTAAATTGTTTAATATCTCTAATTTTCGAAAGCTCTTTAAAAAAGCGATTGCTTCTTTCAGCGATTATTAATTAGTTCGATAGATCCACGAGTAACGATTCCGTGACAGAAACGCCGCTTCACGTTCCCATCACTTAGAAGGCCCAGAAGACGGACAGTAGTTCGTCTCCGGGGCTCACGTACTCGAGACTCAGAAGGAAGGTCCGATCTCCCGCGCGCATGAGGGAGAAAGATTGAGAGAGAGAAAGAGAGAGAAATACCATAGCTGCATTACGTGGCGATGGCTTTCCATGGCATTCGACTAATTTCAGGCTCGAAACGTTCCATTAAAGATTCAGCATGTAATTGCGTACGATCGTAGGAGATCGCCCCTTAGTCCTCATCCATCCCATCCGTCTCCTCTGTTTCCTCCGTCTCCTTTCTTCTCCTCCTCTTTCTCTCGTCCCCAAGTCGGACGTGCTCGAGGAATTATCATCGAACCGAGTGATCGCGCGTAACCGTCGTACGTGAGGCAATCAGAGAATCGCGCGGCGGAAAATCTGTCCTAATGATCCCTCGCTCACCCCGACCCGGTGGTCCATCCGCCCCGATCTGTCACTGAGAGTTGTTGTTTTAACCCTACGCCGCATGCTTGGGTTTCGCATTACTCGTATCTAAACGCTAAATGCATTATGGAATCAGGATGAGTAGTGTACCAGAACGGGATGAATAGTATACTTTACAGTTGATTCATGTTCTGCTCGACTGACTATTATACCTCTATTAAACACAGAAAGGAGTAATTGAAGAATTTTATAAAATGCAAAATAATGCCTTTCAATTCCAGTAATTATTTCCTACATATATATAAGACGTTAGAAAATATTTAATTATTATATTATCCCTATTACCACCTATTGCTAATTAATTACTTTATTAAGATTTATATTAAGAAAATATTTATTCCTATATTTAATGAGATTCTCCACATATATTGCACCGTTGTTAATTTTGAAATTATGGAACTTAAATTATTACGACAGAGTGTAGCAATTTAAGCGATGAAAATTCGTCGAGATTTCTGCCGCTTTAGCGATTTCGAGGGAATCTTCCCTCCGCGTGCGCTCGCGGGGAGGATCTCCCCGAAGCGGACGAGAAAGCGACTTTCCGAAATTCGAAATTCTCGACGAGAGCCGAGCGATAAAGCGGACCGTTTCCAGCGGGCACTTAGATACCGCAATTTGCTAGATGGTCGCCCAGGGCGACCCATCCACTCCGGCAACCTTTGCTTTGTGTCTCCGGCGGACAGGACAGCAGGGGAATTCGATTTAACTACCACGTGTCCAGAGACGCTCCTTATACGTGTGCCCGTCTCTCAGTGTGTACTCTCCTGATCTACAGGGTGCGTGCGAATTTCAGAAACGAGCCAGATTCTCTCGAGACGATTCGTGCCGAGACGTAAAGATACGTCTACGCGAATCGCCGCCCTATGCAAATGCAACCGGATGCATCGTAACAAAATTAATTCCGATTCAGTTCAAGTTAGTCATTTCGGTCCATCTCGAAGTGATCATGGTTTCCTGAGATCGTGATAGCCGTGGTGGCCGTGGCAATTTCACGGCACGCCACCCGGTACACCGTTTTGGTGCATGGACAAAGGACAGGTATGCATATGCACCGCGTCCCTCGTTTATCTGCCATGGAAATGCAATGTAATTTAATGCGGAACGCTTGACGTCGATGTCTTTGCGCGATCATACATATACATATACATATATATATATATTTATTTATTTATTTATTTATTTATTTCATCCGTGATATAAACAATAAAAAGATTTCATTCTCAAACAATAAAAAGATTTCTCTTCAAGGATAGTTCCTTGTTCTTCGCATCATGAATCTTATATATAAAGACAGTCGAAATTATCGCTCGAGTGTATTGAAAAAGGCAGCATCAAATATGAATAAAAGAAACTTTAGTATATATGTGCGAGAAAAAATCATTGGAAATATAAATATGCCAACGATTTATTAGACTCAACTTTAACAAAATTTTTCTGAAAAATATTGCGCTATTAGTAAATCATCGTCATTAATAATAATCGGAATTCCAATCTTTCTCTTGAGGAAAATGCAAAGTATATCAATATTTTGCGATACGAGATACAATCAAAGAGGATTTTCGCGAAACTCGTCCCTAGAGTAAGTCATCGAGCGAGTTGCAAGACTCTCTCAAGTTCGAGACAGGCGTCCCTCGAATGCATCTCGATGCCCCGCCGATGAACTTATAAAATATCATTAATCTTCGACTTTCGGGACCGACGGACGCGCGCCGCAAACGTGTGTTTACGGCATCGCGCGCGTCCGTTTAGGCCTGATTTATCGCGGCGGATTATCGGAATACCAGAAATACCGTATCATTATCCCGCGCACATCTCGCGCTTCGTTCGCGCAAAATTTACAGCTGGAACTCGCGAACTCTTTCTCACTCTTTCTCTCTCTCTCTCTCTCTTTCGATCGTGACGAATTATCCTCGATCCTGCGTACGGAGGTCGATCCGCCCTTATCTTATTTTTGCAATCCATTTTTCTCGATGCGTTCCAAGATCTCCATCCTGAATATATACACGTCTATTTATTCATTTTTCCTTGAGTCGTGCCTTCCTATTTGGCGGTATTTCCGCATAAACGCAAAAAAGGGTTTCTTCCCTTCTCTTTTTCTCTCTTTTTTCTTTTTTTTGCTTGGTAATTAACCCTTTGCTTTCGTCCTCATGCATTTGGACCGCATTTACCGTGGAACAACCAGTCAGCCAATTATTTCTGAAGGGCATTTAAATATTGTAGCTGGCTTCGCGGGCGGACGGCGAGCGCGCCGCCTCGGCAAATTTACGATTTCTATAAAATTTCTAACGTTATTACGATGAAATTTTTACGGCCGCTCTTTTTAAAACATCTCTTTGTGCTGCGTTTCCTGCATGTGAGTATATA